AGTGCAGCTTCATTTGTAGTGAAGACCCCAGGATTGAAGGGGTCATGGGGAGAATCGGAGGCTTTGCGCCTAGAGAGGCAAGAAGAGGCCATTAGTGAAGGTGTAGCCTCAGTTTCAGTGAAGACCCCAGCTTTTTGGAGATGCCAGGACTGTGGGACGACCACCAAGGACAGCAGTAGGTCTAGAATGGAGCTGGCATGGATCTGGGAGGTGAGCTGTGTGTCCTGTGGACAGCAGTCAGAGAAGTGGAGCAAGCCAGTAAGCAGTGTTCCTCCATGGTATGTGCTCCAGCTCCTGCCTCCAGGTTCCTGCCCTGATTTTCTACCTTGGACTCCCTGATGAACTATGACCTGGGAGATAGATATAAGACAAATAAAATCTTTCCTCCCCAAGTTGATAGTGGTCAGAGTGTTTTGTCACAGAAATGAAGAAACAAACTAAGACAGTCATTGGTACCAGAGAGTGGGCTGTTGACTGACCATGTGGGACAGCTCCTGCCTCCAGGTTCCTGCCCTGATTTTCTACCTTGGACTCCCTGATGAACTATGACCTGGGAGATAGATATAAGACAAATAAAATCTTTCCTCCCCAAGTTGATAGTGGTCAGAGTGTTTTGTCACAGAAATGAAGAAACAAACTAAGACAGTCATTGGTACCAGAGAGTGGGCTGTTGACTGACCATGTGGGATTTTGGAGGAATGTGGAAGACTTTAGAAGTTTGGGCTAGAAAAGCGGTTGATTGCTGTAAGCAGAGCTTAACAGGCCTTTCTAGTAGGGGCCTGGAAGAAACCTGCTGAGAACAATGCAGTTCCAGAGAGAAATAAGGACTTAAGCAACACTTGGGATATTTTGGCAAAGAGTCTGGCTGGAGTCTGCCCTAGTCCAAAAAGCTTGCCTGAGGCTAAGTTGAAAAGTAATGGACTAATTTCTTTGGCAGATGAAATTTCAGAACAGCCTAAGGTTGACTCTACAGCTTGGTTATTACTGGTAATACGCAGATCTACAGTGAAAGAGAGCAAATGGGGCAGAAAGAAATACAGTTTGGATTGAAAAAGAGCACTAGGAAGATTAATTTTGGAACCCTGGCATGTGATGGAGAGGATCCCATTGATAAGGAGATTAAAGTGATTAAGGAGGGGCCTAGAGATTCAGACAATGGAGAGAATGCCTCTAGGGTAAGACCACACCCAGTTAAGCCTCCAACTTGTGAAAGGAAAATGCTGCAGGGACCACTGAAGAGAAAAGCTTTTAAAATGGATGAAGCAGGAGTCCATCCCAAACTTGGAGTCAAATTTGGCATTGTAACTCACCTGGTGCCATGAAAGATGCAACAGCCAAGGGGTCATCAGTTCTTCTCCACAGTTTCAGAGAGCCGCTGAGGCCAGGCAGCATGAAGCAGGGTTGCCCCTGCCTAGAGAAGGCCCTGATAGGCCATTGCATGAAGCTGTGAAGGTGAAGCCTGGTTGGCAGTGGAGACCCCAAGAAGTTCATGATGCCAGAGCTGTGAGGCATTTGCCAAGAAGACCTGCATACAGGGAGTGATACCAGCACGAGAGATGTGTCTTGCATTAGAGGCTGAGCCATCTAAGCCCTTTGGAAGTAAAGTCCCAGGAGTTGGACATGGAGCTACTGGATTTGATGTTTGCCCTGCTGGTTTTCGGTCTTGTTTTGGTCCGGTATTTCCTTTTCTATGCTTCTGTTCCTCCCTTTTGGAATGGCAGTATGTATTCAGTTCCACTGTATGTTGGGAGTATGTAATTTGTCTTTTGATTTTATAGAAGCTTACAGTTCAGGTATTTACTTGAGTCTCAGAATAGACTTTGGACTGTGGACTTTTCAATAGTAGTGAGATTGATAATGACTATGGGGACTTTTAAAGTTGGACTGAATGCATTTCGTATCTTATATGGTCATGAGCCTATGGGGGCCAGGGGGTGGAATGTGGTAGCTTGAATGAAAATGTCCCCAGATGATGGTGCTGTTTTGGGAGTTTTTAGGTGTGGCTATTCTGGAGGAAGTCACTGGGGGTGGGCTTAGAGAGTTCTTAAGCCTTGCCAGATCTCCAGTTGCTCTCTTGCTTCCTGTGCCTGTGTGATGATGAGAGCTTAGCTTCTGCTGCTCCTGCTCCAGCCACCATGCCTTCCTGCCATGACGGACTGTAATTCCCCTGGAATTACAAATGAATTCTTCCTTTTATAAGTTGTTTTGGTCAGTGTTTATCACACCAACAGAAAAGTAACTGATACATGCACAGTAATAATAAATACCTTAAAGTAGACAATGGGGTAATGTTTTATAGTTTATAAATTATAATTTCCTTAATTCAAATTACAGTGCCTTTTAATTTCAGTGTTCCTCCCTAATATGTGCCTCCCTGCTCTGTCCTAGATGTTTTCTTGATCAGGTTAATACACAGTTATATTATGAACTGATATACCAAAGGGAGTAATTAACATATTAGGTTGCTTCTTAGTCAATGATAATAGTTCCTGGTAGAATCTCATTAAATATCTTTGTTTTCTAGGATTAACAGTACTCTGATTTTAGTTGTGAATACTTTTTTCTACTCTATTTTAATGTTTTTGTTTTAGAAATAAAGTAGATCTTAGACATTTCCTGAGAGACAATTGCTTTATTATGCTTTAGGAATGCTTTATTAGCATATAATTTCTACTATAAAATGTATATATTTTAAATAGTAAAACTGCTTTCACATGCAAATATTTGCACAGTTGTATAAACTGCCTTTCGAGCCAAGTAATATACATGCTAGCATAACAGAAAATATGACCTGAAAAATATGATAAAATTCCAATTTAATAATACTAGAAATTACATATCTTCAAGGTCGGTCTTGAAAAACAGGTTGTAAATACTAGATGTAACAATAGTGAAAGACCTAATTTGTAAGTGGTATATAATTTTATCAGTATTGTGCCTAAATTTTTAAATTTAGTTGTTGCTCTACATGGCTACTAATTTTACTTGTTGATCCTTTTTGTTGCTTTAGAGCTTAACTTTCTCATGCCAACCTTTGGATTATGAACTATCACTATTGCTCATCACATAGTATGCATCTAACTTCAAACTTTGTAGCTAACAATTCTGAGATTCATTCTTGTAAGACAAGTTCTGATAAAATAGTAAAGGAGATTCAGGTTAGATTCCTTGAACAGGTATCTGAAAGAGTTCTGAACAGGAACAGACTAGAGAGTAAACTTCCCTACCTCTAATAAGATCATTTACTTCATTAGCCCCTACATATTATACCCTGAAATCTCCACCTGGCACTGGGGGAATTTGTCTTGCCAGCTGGTTGGAGGTAATCTAGCACTCATTCTTTTTGGCTTTGTTTTGTTAATAATTTTTTAAATTTTATTTTATGTATATGAGTGTTTTGCTTGCATATATGTAAGTACATCTGTGTCATACAAAGCCCTCAGACTAGAAGAGGTGTTGGATCCCTTGAAACTGGAATTATAGACGTTTTTAGCTGCCATGTGGGTCTGGGATTGAACTTGGGTCCTCTGGAAGAGCAGTCCATGCTCTTAACCACTGAGCCATCTCTCCTGCCCTTTTTTAAAAAAAGCACTAATTTTCAGTTTAGAATTGCTCATTACCAGTAGAAGGGAAGAGGTAATCATGCTCTAGATGATTTGTGCCTAAGCCTTTCTTCTCAAGATACTGACAGCTTGAATGCCTTTCAAACTACAAAACTTTGTTTTAAATCCATCTCCCTAACAGCTGTGTATAAGAAAGAACTTTATTTTAGTTCCATCCTCCCATCAGTGCTTTTAGCCATATGTTGTTAACCTTTTGTTTAAGTCTCCCTGGCTAGGTTATGAGCTTCTGGTAGGTAGTAACTCTTAGGCATCTGTAGATTCCTGTGCATTCCCACAGTGCCTCCTCAGAACATAGTAGATATTAAATCTTGATTCTTACTGTCTTTAACTTAATTCTACTGTTTCAAAATTGTATGTGATCATTTATCATTTTTTAGTATCAATTTATTGCCTGCATGTATGTAAGTGCACCCATGTCATGCAATGCCCTTGGAAGTCAGAAGAGGGCATCAGATTCCTCTGGAACTGGAAGAATATACTGTTGTTAGATGCCATGTGGGTGCTGGAAATTGAACACCAGTCCTCTATAAGAGCTGGTGCTTTTAAGTGCTGAGCCATCTCTCCATCCCATGTGTGATTTTTTTTTTTTTTTTTGGTCTTTTTGAGACAGGGTTAGCCCCAGCTAACCTGTAGCCCCAGCTGTCTTGGAACTCACAATGTGGACCAAGCTGGCCTTGAACTCACAGAGATCCGCCTGCTTCTGCTTCCCAGTGCTGGGATTAAAGGCGTGTGCCACCACACTCGGCCCCCATGTGTGATCTTTTAATGAACCTGTCTCTGTTCCTTACTCCTGCTTATCTTTTCTGAAGAAAAAAAACAAAGGCATTCCACATTTATCATTTAATTTCCTTTTAAAGTTTCCAAACCAGAGTACTATGTTTTTTAAAAAAATGGTAATAATTGAGGTATGTGAATACTTATTAAACAGTCCATAAAATTCTTAAATTTGTCTTATTTTTGGTGTTTGTTTTTTGTTTTTTTGACATAGGGTCTCACTACATAGCCCTGGCTAGCCTGGAACTTGCTATGTAGATCAAGCTGGCCTCAAACTCAGAGAGATCCACCTGCCTCTGCCTCCAAGTGCTGGAATTAAAGGCATGCGCCACCACTCCTGGCAAAATTTTAATGTCATTTGATACAAACATTAAACTGTTTTCTTTCAGAACTTTGATATACATTGTCAGTTATTAGTCATTTAACAATTCTAGTGTATTTAAAGCTGAGTGCTAGGCTTAGTTAAGAGTTAAATATGTGTACCATTTGAAAAAAGTACATGGTTAGTTAATAGTTAAATATGTATACCATTTGAAAAAAGTACGTATTTTAATATTTTGTTAGCAAAATAGACTATTCAGTTGTAATTTTCTTTTGTCATAGGGTAAAGTTCACCTTGAATTGAAACTGAATGAACTGATAACAGAGAATGGAACTGTGTGCCAGCAGCTTGTTGTACAGTAAGCATCTCCTTTGCCAAAATAATTCTCTACTTTATGTTGTTAAACCAACTCCTCATGTTAAATACTTAAGAAGTTTAGCAAATTAAATTCTAATTTATCATTTCTTTACCAAGCTGATAATCCAGTTTATTTTTTTCATTTAGTCTGCTCAGATTATGGTGAATTACTGGTTTATTCAACTGATTTTTATAGAATGTGGGATAAATGGCATATATAAGCATTAAGGTGTGACAGGATCATAGATAAGAGTTTCTAACTGCCTGGCAGTAGAGACTTGGAAAGGGTTTCTAGATGTCCTCTGGATACACTCAGACACCAAAGCAGAGCTTCAGAGATTGGGGTTCAAACTGAGTGTCCCCTCTAAGACTGCCAGTATTGATTCCCATGAATTTTGTGTTCCTTTTTACCTCTTTCACCCTTAGGTCGTTTTTTATTGTCCAAACTCTGACAGTGCTGTAAGTCTGACTGTGCTGTAAGTTTCCTATTCAAGCCTAGTCTTTGACTTCTTTTCTCCCCTTCAATCCTTTCTTTAAGTTATCAACAAGCTACCAAGAATTCTTTATTCTAGATGCATCTGTGTCTTTGCCTCAGTTGATATCTGACTATCCCCCTGAGGTTTTGAGGTACATACCCACATACCTCAGGGCAAGGAACAGAATAGATATTTTCTTATCACTGTTCCAGACTGTAATTTATTCTCAATTGTGAAAACCCCAATTCCTTGAGGCATTTTATTGCCTTCCTGTATTACTATATGTATCTGATACTGTATAAGATCTTATTTGTGCCAGGCATGGTGGCATATGCCTTTAATCCCAGCACTCTGGAGGCAGAGGCAGGCCTCTGTGAGTTCAAGGCCAGCCTGGTCT